GCCCATAAAGCATTTCCTTCCCAGGCCTCAGAGACCCGGCCAAGGTAGAGAGCCATTGCAGGGTCACTACTCTTGGTCCAGAACAGACTTGTCCAGAGGCCTAATCGTGGGCTTGCTTTTTTAACTGCCTTCAATCCCTAAGCATGAGTCTAGGACCGCAGCTTAAACTTCTTTGGGTGAGAGAGCAAAGAGATTATTTCCTTAGCGGAAATCATTTTACATGCAAAGGGTTTACTTCCTGACCTCCTAACAAGTCCCAGATCTGAAAGACTCGAATCCAGATGTCTCCACTGATCCCTTCCTGAGAGAACCTGCCAGACATCTGGAAGAGAAAAGCAGCAGAACACGTCTGATCTGGAGGGACCTCATCCAAAGACAGACTGATAGAAGACATGGCGATCACTTGAGCACGCCACAAACCTGGATGACAAAGAAAATCATTTCTGGTGTCTGCTCACTCAGACACCTTCACTCGGATTGTCTGCGTGTCAAACTCAATAGGTCCAAGGTGGGTTCCCCTATCTCCACCAGCCCCAACAGGTCGCCTCATCTCCTCCAGCTCCCCACAGGTCCCCCTATCTCCTCCAGCCCCCACAGGTCCCCCTACCTCCGCCAGCCCCAACCCACCCATATTCCTAATTTCCCTATCCTAGGGAACACAGTCCTCACCTTTCAGTCACCAAGTCTCACAGCTGAGGGTCCTCCTTGGCTGTTCATTCTCACTCACCCCCCATATCGCGTCGGCTGCCAAGTTTCATTGATGCCACTGCTACAGCATCTCTGACATCTGCCCCCATCTCTTAACTGATACAACTACCACCCTTGAGAACCTCATTCCTTCTTGCCTAGACTAACGGTTAGAGTGCTGGGCTTGGAGTCAGGCAAACCTGAGTTCAAATCAGAAACCTATTGGCTGTATGACCCTGAGCAAGTCATTTAGCCTGTCTGCCTCAATTTCCTCATCTGTAAAATGACAGCACCTCCCTTACAAAGTTGTGAGGATTAAATGAAATAATTGTAAAGTGTGTTATAAACCTTAAATGCAATCTACCCTCCACACGTTGCCAGTTATATTCCTCCAGCACATCTGACCATGACAATCCCTTATTCACCAAGTTTCCAGCGGCTCCCTACTATCCCCAGGTAAAAATGAAAACTCAACCATTTGGCACTTAGAGTCGGCATGTTTCTAGGAGGATTACGCCCTAGTTATTCACTGTCTCAGCCCCCATGTCCTAGTGTGCTGTTGTGTGTATAGGATATTGCCCCCTCCCCCACTTCTTCTTTGCCCAGGCTACCTCCAGTGCCTGGGGTGCTCTCCCTATTCACCTCCCTTCACGGCTCAGCTCCAGCATCGTCTCCTACCTTTCCTGATGCTCTCATTTGTGGGCCCCCTAAAGCTATTATTTATCTTGGGTATACTCCATGTTTAGTTATCTGAGAGATGCTGCGTTCCCCCACTAGAAGGTATGCTCCTTGAGGGGAGGGATTATCGCATGTTTCTCTTTGTGTCCCCCAGGCCCTAAACAGGGTCAGACAAATGACAGGCACTACACAAATTCTAGTATGATTTACAGATGAGAAAAACGAGACTCCAACAGATGAAGGGCCTTGACAAAATACTAACATGTCAGCTACAATGAATGAGGCCAGAATTCAAAATGCATTTTGCCGCTGAGCAGGATGTTTACTGAATTGTGATAGACCGTTTTGTTTTTTTTAATCATCAGTAATGTGTTCTTGAAAACGGCAGTCATGTTTTTTAAACAATATTTATTATTTCTAAAGAGCAGAGGAACACATGAGTAGAACTCTGTTTACACTTTGGAGAACTGTGATTTATATTGGGTTTAAGTTGAAACAGCAAGACATTCTCAGTATTAGTATTAACCTGGAAAACTCTGGTTTGCTTAAAGAAAGCCAACACATACGCACAGTCTCCTGGTCTGCATGGAGATTGCAGCAGCTACAAAAAGCTAAGGAAATTTCCGGCCACTTCTGCCAAATGCAGAGCCTTTCTCACGCCCCGATTCAGTTATTAATGAGAAGGTTCCCATCTTCACTTCCTTTTAGTTTAACCAAGCCTCAGTTGGGGATATGGAGCCTTGTTCATTCGGCAACCACTTTAAAGAATATTTTCTTGTTCTTTAAGACAAGGAGCCTATAAAGTGATGTTTCTTCTTGGCTTTGTCCGTGCAACGAGACCAACTCACCCTTTTGCCTTCCTGTGTGAGGATCACCCAAAAGCTGTCCTTCTATTCATCCACCATCGCTCCTTGGAGGCTCTCTAGCAGAGGCTGGATGGTTAACTTTTCAGCTATGTTATGGCGGGCTTTCTGGGGTGAACAAACTGGATTAGATGCCCCTGAGGCCCCTTCTGATGCTCAAATTCCATGAATCCCAACGAATGGGCTCAGCAATACCATGGGGGTATTTTTACTGCAGCCTCCGGGCCTTACTAGAGACTCCTTCAGTTCTGGCCAGTCTCGAGCGACAAGAAAGCGATGGATCAGCTTGGCTAACTGTGGCTTAATAGAAACCTATGAGGAAGGGAAATGGGCAGGGCGACATACTGAGCATCTGTTGAAAAAGGAGAAACTCAAGATGTCCAGCGTCGTCCAGGTTGTTCCTTTCTCTTCTCGTCTCAACTATGAGACTCCGTCACCGCCGCCCACTCCCCAAACTAGCAGGGCGACGTGTGGAAAGCATTCTAGAGGCAAGAGAAAATCAAAACAAACCAAGATAGGAACCAGCTGGAATCTGGAGCAACTTTTTGCTGCTTTGGAATCATTTTGACAAATCCAGAGAGAAACCTCGTATGGAAAATTCCAGTCCAACTCAAGGAGTAAAACTGCCTGCACACACAGAGGTGAGGTAAATCTCCAGATCATGCCATGAAATGATTCCACCCATTCTAGCGGGTAATGGAAGGGGCGCAAAGCACATTGCCACAAGAGCCTGAAGGCTCAGACGCCAGCACACGAAGGGAGGCTTCCTAGTGAATCTTCAGGGCAAGGAAAGTGGAACAGTGTGTGGAGGCCTGGCCCAACCAACCCGGACTTCTGGCCCTTTCCCCATCGTATCCTGCCATCTCCTCATTCCAGGCACTTGCAGTATGTCCCGCAAGGCTGGGCACAGACTCCTTTCAAAAATGTCAAGCAGATGCAGAGCGAGGCACACGTTTTTGGACGTGGCCAATGAGAACTTACGTTACTTGAAGATACTCATTTTATTTTTCCTTTTTTTTTTTCAGGGTGGGGAGAGCAAAAAAGGAATACTTGGTAATTGGAAAAAGTAAGATTTAATTTAGAAAATGTAAACAGGAAGTGAACAGAAAAAAAGCTGGCAAACAATCTCTCTGTTAAAGGACAAACAAATCAAGATGATGGTAAAAATGTATCTTGAAGCCAATACAGTAAGACAACTTCTGATCCCGTACTGCTGCCATATAATCACGGAACAGAGAGGTCTCAGCTAATGAGAAGAATGATATTCACAGCACTGAAGCTGTGAGGATTACCAGTTTATAAAGAGAAGGGGGGAAGGGAACAGTCATTTACTGAGCACCTACTAGGACTAAGTCCTGAGCCAAGTGCTTTACAAACATCTCATCTGATTTTCACAACAACCTTGTGAGGTAGAGGCCCTACTATTATCCCCATTTTACAGGTGAGGAAACTGAGACAGAGGTGGTGACTTGCCCAGGGTCACACAGCCGATAAGTGCCTGAGACCGTGTTTGAACATGGTCTTCCAGCTTCCTATCCACTATGGCCCTTAGGTAACAAAAAACCACTTTGCACCGTCCCTGCGATTCAACAAACGAAAGGCTGTGACTGTGAGACCCTGAGATTCCTCCTCCACCATCTCTCCTAATTCTTTGCCTTGGGCTTGTTCCCTGAGCAATTTAACTTATAAACATATCTACTTTGCTTAGAAATTCAAGCGCAAAGCAAAGTCCTAACCCTAACCCTTGGTAGATCACGTATGGCACATTGGTGCAACAGTTTCCAATAACCTCTCCACTGAGGTATAATCAATGGGCTGTGTCCGCAGCTTGCTTGCTAAAGAGGGTCCAACAGGATGGCCACTCGGTGAGAAGCACCAGTGAAGACTCAGCGGTTTGCCGGAAAAGTCAGTCTGCAAGTCCCATCTGGCATGTACATCCCACCTTCCTACAGAAAAGGAGAGTCCTGAGGCACCAAATAAATACACCCCAAACCTACGGGGATCAGAACCTGAATCGGATGTCTAAGCAATAACGTCCTCCCTGGGGGCACTTCCTTTCCACCTCCCCCGAATTTCTAGAGAAGAGCCAGAGATGTCAGTGAGGCAGTCGGGAAGGGGGGAGGTTGGCATGCCAGCTAGCGGTCACAGAGCTAAGGCTGAAAGTCTCCCACCCTTCATAAAGACAAAGGGTGGGACGGCTTCTTTAAAGTGCCTCAGGCTGTCCTCAAGTCCAAGCCGAGCCAGGGACAAGGTGGGCGGACAGTGAGCGTATGCCTACAGTATTTCATCTTGCATCCCCCAGAGTTTCCTGCACTTAGTCTAGAAACCTAACCGCCATGACAAAGCTTGTTTCTAGAAGGTGCCAAAGGAGGGTCCCATCTCCTCGAAGGGCCAGAATGGCTTTCACTCTCCTTCACCCGCCACAGCCAGGGACATGGCCTTCCCACTCGTCTCCCTCCAGGAGAGGGGCATCCCAGTGTGCCAAGCACCATTCTCCTCCCCCATCTCCTCCCAAATGTCTAAGCTGGGCTTGGAGGCAGGCTGTGCGGCAGAACAGAGCACCCAGAAGCTGGAGGGTGGGAGGTTTCGTCCTTCCCACAGCAGACTCAGGGAACCACATGCCCAGGGTCCTCTGATTAGCTGACAGCAGTGGTCCAAGGAGCCGGTCTGTGCACGGCCTGATTTACAGGCTCCTCCGGCTACCTCCCCTCTGACCCCTACCCCACCTGAAGTAACAAGCCAGGGGAACAAAACCAAAAAAACCAAAAGCCGGAGTCTTCAAGCCGGTGTTTAATGCAGGACATTGTGTGGACAGACTGCCCTGAAACGCTGTTCTCTCAATGGAAACACACTGTGGCAGCCCTTCTCGTGGAAAGGCAGCGACCCCAGGACACGTGGAGCCAGATTCCTCGCCTGTGTTTCTGCGGGTGGACGAGCGGGGTTTGTCCTCCCGTCGCCCTCCGGGTCTGTGTGTCTGTACTTTGAGAAGACTGAGCAGCGACGTGCCCAGCGACGGGCTGCGAGGCCCTCTGAGGACTGGCTCTGCCGGCCTGCCTCTTCGGTGGCAGAAGGGCCCGCCGTCAGAGCTCACTGCTGGCCGCACAGCTCTTCGGCAAGGGGGTGGCGAGGGCCTCTTTGCTCTCAGTCAGCGCCCGGGGCTGGTGGATGAACACACTGAATTTCACGCCTTGGTTGATGGCAGCCCTCACAAAGCCACTGTTGGCCGTCATCGTGACGGCTTTTAGAGCGTCTCCTGTTCCAAAGATGGTGAGAGAGCGGCTGTTGATTTTGGAGCTCGCCACCAGTCTTAAGGCCCGCTCGGAGGGCTGGTCCGGCACCACGCTGACCCGCCCGATCAGCCGGGCAGCCCGCTCCCTCTCGCCAGGCCCTCCCAGGGTGTCCAGAATGGTCTGGAAGTCCCTGACGGCCGACTCGCAGGCAAACAGCTCCTTGTTGGCCATGAAGGCCTCCAGCTGGGGCAGGACGCGCTCCTTCCGTTCCTGCACCGCCTGCTCGGTCAGCACCTTCTCTCGGAAGACAAAGTGGCAGCCTCCGTAACTCAGCGCAGAGACGTATGTGATCAGAGTCGTGATATCCAGGTTCACGCGACTGCACACGTCCACCTTGACCTCTGTGGGGAAAGCCACGCTGGCCACGACGTTCTCCCTGTCGACGCGGGTCACCTCCAAGAGCCCCGCGGCCTCCTCGTCAGACTCGCTGTCGCTGCGCAGGCACTGCTCGGGACGCTCGAGGGGGGCGTTCACGGCCACGATGTCCCCACGGACAGAGATGCCCATTTCCTTCAGCTGCTCGGCCACGGGGCTGGACACACTGTTGTAGAAGGCGAAGACGATGCGGGGGCTGCTGTACTGCACGGGCTGCTGGGAGCTGGCCTGCAGGAAGCCCTCGGCCTGCTCGACGACGCTCTTGTCGCCATACTGGCCCCGGCCCAGCCAGATGTTGTGCAGGGCCTCGGCCTTCCGGCCAATGGCCTTGACCCACGTGTGGCCGCCGTCGGCCACCACGTCCACCACGAGGCTCTGCTTTTCTCCCGAGCGGTCTACGTAGCTGAAGACATGGAGGACGCCGACCACCTCGTCCAGGCTCTCGGCAGACTCGACGATGGCGCGGAGGTGGGTGAGGTTGGTGCTCTGCAGGTGGGACTCCTTGATGGCCACATTCCCGGCCTCCACCCGGTGCAGGAACTTCAGCTCAGCCTTCAGTTTGCTGCACAGCTTGGCGCCCCCCTCGACGCCTCCCTTCCTCGATCTCGAAAGGGCCTCCGCTCTCTTGATCAGCTCCGTGGCAACGGCGATGCGCTCACAAAGCATGGCGTGCACGGACATGCTGGCGGCATCATTCGTACGCTATGAAAAGAGAAGAAGAAATCCGGGTGAGTCAAAGCCTCCAAGGAGGATCCTGGCAACCCGGGCCTTCCGGCTCCGGCTACACGAATGACAGCGAGAGCCGAGAGGCGCACGCGCTGCAGACGCTCAGCAAAGTGCTTCAAAGTCAGGCTCCCCACATCTGACCCCCCGAGGCCCCAGGGGTGGGCTCCCCTGCAATTCCACCAGGCATGGGGACCTCCTGGCCCTGATTCAGGCCCGCCACTCCTCCACCCCATGTAGGGCCCTGACAGGAGAGGCCTGGACCACGGGAACCAGGGTCCCAGGGGCAGGGCTGGAACCCAGCCCACTTCCCACTAACCCGCCGGTCATTACAGAGGCTTCAGAGAGGTCGAGAGCCTGCCACGGGTCGCACGGCTCATCCGTGAGAGCCTGACAAGAGCATGAGATCCCGAGCCCCCACAACAAGGTCCCCCACCCCAGAGATGATGCAGAAATGCCAGCCATGGGCAAACTCATCCCCAATCACCTAACAGCATGTATTAAATGCCAACGACGTGCCAGGCCCTGGGTGAGGGGCTGGCAATATAGCGACCCGGCGCGAAATGATCCCTGTGCTACAGAGGTCAAATGTGAAGAGAAGAGAACGTAAGGGAGGAGGCGAGAGGAGCTGGGGAGCAGAGAGAAGTATCTGACTGCACTCTGAAGGAAGAGGGGATCCAGACGCAACAATGTTAACAAGAAGCATCTATTAAGTGCCTACTGTATGCTAGGCCTGTGTAAGCGCTGGGGATGCAAAGAAAGGCAACGCCAGGCCCTGACCCGGGCGCCCACAATCCAACCAGGAAGGCTGCGTCAGCAAGCTGAGAGAGGATAAGCTGGACGTCCTCCCAGGAAGACGGCCTCGGCACCAAGAGGACTGGAGATGCTTCCTGTAAACGCTGAGCCTGGAGGGGCAGGGACAGCATTTCAGGAACGGCCAGTGGACAGACGAGCAAAGTCTCTCTGGTGGCCGCGGGAAGGACGGACGGGGTGGGGCGAGACCGGTCAGGAGGCCACGGTGGTGCCCTCCCTTCTGCTGATCGCTAGTTCCCCCTGCCGCCAACAAGGCTGGAGGTGAAGCGGGGATGGTGGGTGGTCCTCCGGTCTGACCAGAAAGAGCCTGGTGGGAGCCAGATTCTCGCACACTAGGACAGAACAGGGGGTATTCTGGACAGCACGGATGGCATTGTGGAGATAGTGTGGGAGCTGAGTCCAAAGCCGGCCTCAGACACTTATGAGCTGAGAGATCTTGGGCAAGTCATTTCACCTGTTTGCCGCAGTTTCCTCGGCCGTAAAATGTGGACAGTGATAACACCTCCTTCCCAGGGCTGTTGTGAGGATTGGATGAGATATGTGTAAGGGGGTTTTAACCTTTTCTTCTGTATCAGTCACACATTCATTTGGCCACCTAGTAAAGCCCACGCATCCCCCTTCTCAGAATGCTTTTACGTGCATGAAATAAAATGCATAGGATTAGGTAGGGAACCGATCATACTGATACAGGTGTCACAGGAGGCGCGCCACCTAGGTGGCATGGCAGATACAGCACTAGGCCTAGAGTCAGGAAGACCTGGGTTCAGATGTCTCAGACACTTCCTAGCGGGATGACCCTGGCTAAGTCTCACCTCTGCCTCAGTTTCCTCCACGCAAAACAGCGCTGACTCCCAGAACTGTTTTGAGGATTGAATGGGCTACTTGTAAAGTTCTCAGCACAATGCCTGGCACAGAGCGGGCCCTACTAAAAGCCACAAACGCACAGTCGGGTTAAGACCCCCAGTGATTCAGGGAGATGGTTCTGAAGCCTTCTGAGAGGCTGGGCACAGGGATACCTGTGGGGCTTCCGGTGACAGTCCACTCTGGAGGCAGTGACGGCGAATGGCAAAGAAAGGATGGAGGGAGCCCACGGGGGGAGACTGGGCAAACCATGAGCGGGGAAGCGGAGGGGCAGGGCAGGGAGATGCCTCCCCAGGGTCGGGATGTCCTCTAAAGGAGGAGGAAAGCCGTCAGAGGAAGCTCCCACCTGCCCGAGGCTTCCGAGGTCCTCGGGGGCTGCCTTGGGGTTTGAGCTGCACAAGGAGCCAAACCACCTATGAAAGGGGGAAGGCTGAGGGATCCGGAGGCTTGGGGGTCTCCCGGGCGCGCCCGGGACCCCCTCCGGAGCTCAGCAGGGCTCTTGGGGACCGGGGCCAGACGCACAAGGACCTTTACTGCCAACTGAGTCCCAGAAAAGGGAGTGAACGTGGATTCTGGGGGCAGCTGGGTGGCAATGGAGAGAGCATGAGCCCTGGAGTCAGGGTCACCTGAGTTCAAATCCGGCCTCAGACACATAACACTCACTAGCTGTGTGACCCTGGGCAAGTCACTTAACCCCACTGCCTAGCAAAAAAAAAAAAAAAAAAGGCGTGGATTCCGCCGGCCCTCGTGGGGTCACAATTATCGTGGAGGGCAGTCCGCCCTGGCCGGCTTCTGGACACATGGACAACGCCCCCCCCCTCCCCTGCCTGCGGACCCTGACCCTGGTCACTGCAGACCCTCGCGGACCCCCGAGGCAGGCCAGACAGAAAGAGGCCAATTCCAGGGAAAGCAGGAGGAGCAAACACGTGGAAGGGGCCCCTGGCCTCCCCCCGCCCCAGCAGCTCGGTCTCTGGTGCTGTCCTTCAAGGCTCAGCTGGGGGGAGGGGCGCTTCCTGCATCCTGCCAGTGGGAAGGGGGGATGGGGGGGAGGGGATGGCCCCGCCCCAGGCAAGGGTATAACTCCCTCCCTGTTTCTCCCCCTCCTCCCCTCGCCCTCACCCACCCTGCCCACCTCGGGGAGAGGGGGAAAGGGAACAGGGTGGGAGGGCTAAGACGACCTCGCTCTGGCCCTGGGTTCCAGTCCTGCCCCAGACCGACCCCTGCAGGGGGCGGGCGCCAGACACAGCAGGAGATTAATAAATGCTTCCTGAGCCGGATTACGTGGACGCCCGGGCACGGACACGAGTGCGGCCGTCAGTAATGAAGGACCTTCGTCAATTACGCTCCCCTCCATGGGGGGGGCCCCCGAGTGTCCGGCCCCGCGCCCCTCCCCCGCACAGCCCCCCGCGGCCTCAGTTTCCCCTGCCCGAGGCCCCGGGCCATCGGTGGGGTGCAGGCGGGCGGGTGGCGCCTCACCTGGCGGGCGCGGTCGGACACTCGCCCCAGGCCGGCCCGGCTCAGCTCCCTGCCCAACGTCGCGGGTCACGTGACACCCCCCCCCGCGGCTGACACCGACCCCGGCATCCCCAGCACGCGGACGCACGTTCGACGGCGCATGAAGCCGGCCCGGCGGCCATCTTGGCTGAGGGCACCCGCCCGCGGGCCGCTCCCCCCTCTGGCCCCGCCCCGCGGGCAGCGCGCATGCGCAGCGGCTCCAGTTCGCCTCTTGCATCATCCCCGAGTTCCCAGCAAACTCCCAGACACTCCATCCCTCCGTCCGCTCCCGGAGACCTGGAATCCTCGCAGCCAGCGGCGGAGGCCGTGCTCGGTCCCGCGCCCCTCGGGGCTGTTCCAGGTTCTCCCTCGGTCCGTCTGTCGTCAGTCCACTACCTCGGCCCCTAGCGTGGCGTGCTCCGCCCCCTCCTCCAGCCCCGCCCCGGCGTTCATAGACGCCCTAGCTCGGCAGCGTCGCCCTCCAGGCCTGTGCTTGCTGCCCCTAGGCAGGTGCGCGTGCGCGCTTCCGCCTCCGCCCGACGCAGCCGGCTGCGCAGCTGGGCCGGTTCCTGGCCGGCCGGCCGGTGCGGCAGGACTCGCAGCAGTGTTCGTGGCCCCAGACTGGACAGCACTCGGGCCCTTTCGTTACTCATAAGGGCGCCCCAGGCCTGTTACCCCCCTTGGCCTCCATCCACTTGCCACATTCTTCTCTTCCTAGTGTCTACGGTGTCCCCTCTTGGGTAATGAGCATCATCCCTTCCCCGGGGAGCAGCCTGGCCTGGTGCTTCTCCTGCCTCTGCACAGATGCTGCACCGTGTTGTGTCTGCCTGTCACTCCCACCCCACCCCACCCTTCTGGGTCCCGCTAAGGTGCTAGTTCCAGCAAAGATTCAGGAATAGGTCCTGCTGCTCCCCTGGGGCCCTAGGGTTGGGAGACTTCGTGGAATACCCCTCCAGCCGGCACAAGTTGGGGGGCACTGTTGGAGGTCCCCCCAACGGTAACTACCGGGGAGCCCCCAGCCCTCTGTGGGAGCCTGGCTGCTGGCGGGGGACCTGGGTCCACACCCCAGCTCCACCATTGGCCTTCCTGCCTCATCCCTCCCTCCGTGGGCCTCGGGGCCATCACGGGCCAACTCTGCATGGTGACTGGTCCTAAAGTCAGCGTGCTCTCCTACAAGGGATGGCCTTCCTTCTCACTCCCCCATGGGGTTCCTGGTACATGGAGATTTCCTCCTCCACGAGCTGGGTGTCTCCCCACCCGCCTTCCTGCCCAGTCCATCCTCCCCATCAGTGCTGGGGCATCTCCTACCATTCCTGCAGGGGCTAGGACTGGCGTCATCTCTAGTCCTGACTTCAGTTCTGTCCTGCCGAATCATGTCTGCCTCCCTTATTTCTGGAAAATGGCTGAGCCACACCCAGAAACTGAAGTCAACCTTTGGCCTCCCCACCCACAGACACAGACACAGAGGCAGACTGACAGACAGACAGACACACACACACACACACACAGTCAAAAAGGAGAAAGTGCAGGCTCTTGGTGGCCACTTTCTCACTGTTTCCTCAAACACTAAACAGTGGAAGTTTGAAACCAGCTGGATTGAGTAGTTTATTAGGATTTACACCTATCATTTTTAAAAACTTCAGTCCATTCAACTATGTAGAAATAAGTATGCAAAAAACAGAAAAACCAAAACATTTTGAAACATTTCAAATTGGTAAATCAATTGAAACTCCTGATGATCGAGTCACTGGAATACTATGCTATGGCAGCCAAGTAATCCTTGACTTCGGTGGGGGTCAGCCTCCTGAAACCGGACTCATTGCAGATGCCCACTTCTATGTTGTCTTCCGTCATCTGCCCTTCAAAACTTTCCTGGGGAATTAAAAACATAAAATAAAGAATCAGTATGGAAGACCTGTAGTGATGACGGAAATCACTGCGCACTGCCTCCTGGCTGCAGATCTAACTAACCTTCAGTGTTAAGATGGCGGTATGAATGGCATCCTCCAACTCCAGGTCTTCATTGTATCTAAATTTAAGAAAATGAAAGAACTTAGCAGTGCTAGCCTTCTCAAATCTTCATGAACATTAAAAAAAAAAATCCTGGAATGAATTTTGGTAAAAAATATTTCATTTCATAATTTACATCAAAACAATGCTGCAAATTTTTGTCACCTCATTAGCAATGTCAAAGTAATTTCTCACCCATGTGACACCTGCCAGCAAGAAAAACTAGCCCCCAAGTGAGTTACAAATAAACATATTTTGTAATAAACACCTTCATCTAATCAAGATATAAAACTATATTATAAAATAAGAAAATTTCAGATTGAAAATATGTGACTTTGTCTAATTTAAAGTGAACGATCTTTGATTTTAAAAATAATTACGGTCTTTCTAAATTGAAGACAAAAATGGTGAAGAACAATGAAATGGAGTCGTCGGTATTATTTGTGCCATTTTTAAAAAATGTTAAAGTTCCAAAAGTCACATCCAGAGGTTTCTCTGTAATGTACATAAATTAAACACACATGTATAATCCAGGAGTTAAAAGAGACAAATAGGATGGTGGTGCCGTGGACACAGAACGGGGCCAGACATCAGGAAGACTCACATTCAAATGTGGCCTCAGATACTTACTAGCTATGTGACTCTGGGCAGGTCACTGCAGCACCACCCGCCTTAGTTTTCCCAATGGCAAAATGGAGATGGTAACAGTCCCAACCTCCCAGGGAAGGGCCGTTGTTAGGATCCAATAAGAAGTAAAGCGCTGTGCACAGTGCCTGGAACACTGGGTGCTCAAGAAATGCTTGCTCCCTTTCCTCTTTCATGAGAGGGTTACAGACACCATGGAGTAGGGGGAGGGGGGGAGAAGAGGGTGGGAATGCTTTGTGTCATCATCCCAGTCCAAAACGTAAAGCTAGTTCTCGGCAACTCTGAAGGGCAGCCTTTGCACAGGTGCCCCGGGGACTCAGAGCACACCCACCTTTTCTCCAGGAAAGTTTTCCCATTCACATAATTCTTCCCCATTGCTGTAGCTTTCCAAGCAAAGTAAGCTCCCTGGTCAGAAAGGGGAGTTAAAAAAAAAAAAAACCACAACATTATTACATAAAGGAAATTTAAGTCTACACAAAAGAAGCCTTGAAATACAATTCAAAGAACATGACGAGTGGGCAGAATGCTCACAATCACTGAAGACACCAGAAAGGTCATCACCCTTCTCTGTAACATAGCAGGGGGGAGGGGGGAGAAGTGATGAAAGCCTGGAAGAGGATCAAGAGGCCACAAGGTGTAGCAGGTGGGGCACTGGCCTCACAGTCAGGAAGGTCTGGGTTCAAATCCTGCCTCCAACATGTCCCTTCACCTTATCTCTGTACTTCTCCTAGGCCTAGCCCCTTTAAGGTCTTTTCAGGCCCAATTAAATTCCAAGGGAACAGAGAGATGGCAATTTCCTGAGAAATATGCCAAAGTAATGGATTAGTTAAAGACTCATGAGGGAAGGTTAAAATAACTGCAAGGGCTTAGACCTAGACAGAAAAAAGTACAAATCCAACTCCATGGAAATAAATCATGGTGACTCGACCTCCCCAGATGACACAAGAATAGCTGTTTTTCCTTCTAATTCCAGAGCAGATGATGAACACGCATCCTTCCTCTAAGCAGAGAGGTGGGAAGCCACAGCAGCAAAGAGCGGCACATGGGTGCACAAGTGGTCTTCTTAAATGGTGGCATCCAGACAACTAAGAGCTGGGTTTATGGCACATGGGATTTGGAAGCTTTGCCTGCAGTTATTCAGCCATGCACAAATTCGACTATATTCCAAATCCTGGAAAAGTGTCAAATGGGACAGAGGCAGCAGGGAACATCCCAAGGCCTCAAGACCAGCCCAGCACATAGAGGTCACCACCTCAAGCCCCATCTTCCTTCTCATGTTTCCTAAGGTGCTAAACCTCTTCGGCTTGGAAGGTTGCCTACTAAGGACCACTGCAGCCATCTCTGATTACATCAAAGGAACTAAAGTTAGGAAACATGCACGGGATCATCACACCGTGAAGGGTACGAATGAAAACCCTACAGGACTCATACATGTCCCCATCAGAAGGGCCACAGGAGCTCGGGTCTTCTAAAGACTTCCTGACACCACACCTGAGCAACGTATTTGGATACTTAATGCCACCCTCCGACTCCCCCCACCTCTGGCACATTTTTAACATGGTTATGGCTTGACATGAACAGATGATCCAACAGTCTGATACTCACAGATGGATCAGATTGAAATAAATAAGGTCGGCCCTCATTCCAACCACAAATGAGCAGTGATACTCCAAATGGACGTACGCCACTACAGAAAGGAAAAAGAAAAATTAACTGTTTGGATCAGACATGGGTCTGTCACGGGGGAAATGACAACAAAAGTTATCCCACAAGCATTATAAAGATAAATACACTTGTCAGTCTCACATGAGATTTTAGAAAGAACACTGATAATTTCACAAATGTTACCCTTAAATCAATGTTCTTTGATGAACTGGAAGGTGCTGTGACACCTGCTTTTCTCTCCTCCAAATACATACAATTTAAAATCTGGGCTCAGTAGGAACGTAGCAGAAGTTTGAGGGGCTTATCAAAAGGACAGCTTCAGCTCATGCCAATAAGCCAATAGCAGTCCTACACATGAGGGGTGTGTGAAAGAGTCCCTCTAGAGACCATTGGAATCACACCTGATTCAGATGCTGGGTTTAAGCCTCTAGTGCGCTGTGCAAATAGCCGGGTGTTTCTGAGGAGCAACAGAAGCTGTCCACAGAGGCTGGGCAGGGAACTCTCTGCATCATTAGGAGCCCCTCACCAGCCGAGGACACCCAGAATTAGCAAAGAAATCTAGTTTTCCCTAAATGGAACATTTTTGACACTTCATTAACAAGTCATAAGAAGTCCCAGTGAAGCCCTTCCACAGCGGCTGCTGCCGTTACAGGAACATTTCCTTTGCACAAGTCTGCCGTCATCCAGGGCACTCACCCTGACTGTGTGTATTCCTGCATCACTGAAGCCACCCTCTGCACCAGCTGTGCCGTAGGGATGGGCTCATGGTACACCAGATAGTATTGCTGCGCCAGCTTCCGAGCTCGGTGAACCAGTACTCTGGCAAGAGAAGGGAGAGAGAGGCAGCTCAGTATCCTAGGAAACTCCCTCAGCTGCCTGTGAGGTGGCAAGGAGGTGCTGGCCTGCTTTGGTCTCAGGAATTCCCTTATCCAAGAGTTCCCAGTATGGTGAGTGACCTCAGGTCTAACTCCTATCCCTGTCATAAAGAGGGGATGTTTCCAAGTGACTTGATGTTGGGATCACTTAGCATCTTTCCTAGCCCTGCCAAATGTGGGCTTGAAGCATCTTGGATTCCAACAGCAAGTCCAAGGTGC